CCTCCCTCCTCCCTCCTCCACCCCGGCCCCGCCTCCCTCCTCCCACCTCCACCCCGGCCCCGCCTTCTCCCACTTCCACTTCCGGCCCCGCCTCCCACTTCCACTTCCGGCTCCGCCTCCAGCCCGGCGCTGAGGCCGCGCCCCCTTCCAGAGGGATGAGGGAGGCTGGGGGACATCCAGAGGGAGGAGGTCGGGCCCGGGGCCCCCCTGCGACCCTCCGGGGCCAGGTTGACCCCCGCCGCCCTTCTCCCCTCCCGCCAGCGGTTGGAAGTGCGCCAAGTGCGAGATGCGCGAGAACCTGTGGCTGAACCTGACGGACGGCTCCATCCTGTGCGGCCGCCGCTACTTCGACGGCAGCGGGGGCAACAACCACGCCGTGGAGCACTACCGCGAGACCGGCTACCCCCTGGCCGTCAAGCTGGGCACCATCACGCCCGACGGAGCCGGTACGGCCGCCCCCGGCCACACGGCGCCCAGCTCCGTGCATGCGGCCTCCCGGCAGACAGGGAAGCGCTTAAGATCGGAGACAGAATTTCTCTGTGCTGCTAGCGGGATTTGAACTCAGGGCCTCACATCCTGTTTGCCTCAAGGCTGGTGCTCTACCACGTTGTGCCACACCTCCATTTCTGGTATTTAGCTGGTTCACTGGAGATCAGAGGCTCTCAGGTTTGTCGGCCCAGGCTGGCTTTGAACCTCCATCCTCAGATCTCAGCCTGCCGAGTGGATAAATGTCTAGTACCACCTCGCCCCAAGGGCTAGTTCCCTTCCCAGAGGTAGCTGTGCACATGATCCGCTGTGGGATCATACCATATGATGATCTTATTCTGATACTTTATACTACTAGGGTGGAGTCAGAGTTAGAATTGATTCCAAACCTCACACCCCTCCCCCCTTTTTTTTTCTTTTTCTTTTCCTTGGTCAATCTTGGGGCTTGAATTGAGGGCTTGCGCCTTGTTCCTGACCTTTTTTGTTCACAGCTAGTGTTCTACCGCTTTGAGCCACAGCCCCCCACTTCTGGTTTTCTGGTGGTTCACTGGAGATAAGAGTCTCATGGACTTTCCTGCCTGGGTTTGGCTTCAAATGACAATCCTCAGATCTCAGCCTCCTGAGTAGCTAGGATGACAGGCGGGAGCCACCAGAGCCCAGTTCCCACACGGCAAATTCTAGAAGAACTTGTGGTAGAAAGTCATATTGACACTATTTTGCCTCGTACTTAATTATGGTAGACTTACTATAATAGAGGTATAGCTGCATTCACAGTTCTTTGCGCTGTATGAATACTATTTTTATAGCTACTGGATGATAGCTATGTGATGTGTGGTGATTAACCAGTCTTGATTGTTAGCCATGTGAAATAGTTCTATTAAAACTCGGGGAAGCCGAGAGGGCAGCTGTTCCCAGGCCACCCCACGATGCCACTCAAGGTCCCGCCCCTCACCCTGTGTCTGCTTCCTGCCAGACGTGTACTCGTACGACGAGGATGACATGGTCCTGGACCCCAGCCTGGCTGAGCACCTGTCCCATTTTGGCATCGACATGTTGAAGATGCAGAAGGTGGGTGAGACCTGGCCACTTCCGCTTCGCCTGCTCCCGGCGGGCCTCCTCCCACCATTCACCCATGCCCCCAAGATAGAGCCGCTTCTCTTTATTTTAGTTGGTGGTGGTGGTTGTAGGACTTGAACTCAGGGCCTGGGTGGTGGTGTTCACACAGCAAGACGTGAAAGCGCGGTGGCTGGGCAGAGCGGACACTGCGCCTTTGCAGGTGTAGACGAGGTTTATTAGGGAATCACCTGCTTCTACGTGGCATACACAGGAAGACAGTGGATCTTAGTTAACGAGCACGTGGCAGCTTCACAAGGCCAACAGCTTATAGGAGCCAAAGGTAGCCAGAGACAGGAGACACAGACGTATTGCACATAGAAGAGTCTAGGGGTTATTTATGGGTTGTGGCGCCATTAGGCGGGGCTCAGCGAGCGCACCCCGGTGTCTTCTCCCAAGGTTGTGGCTGGGGGTGTCCGGTCCTATGCCAACCTACCACCACCCAGACTCGGAAGGAGTTTTCTCCTTCCCCAAGGACACTGCAGCCCGGTGCGCGAGCCTGCGTCTCCCACCGCTGGGCGCTGTCCCTGAGCTACTGGTGCTCTACCACTTGAGCCACAACTCCACTTCCAGCTTTTTCTGTGCATATGGTTCCTGAGGAATTGAACTCAGGGCTTCATGCATGCTAGGCAAGCACTTTTGCACTAAGCTGTATTCCCAGGCCCTGTCTGTTTCCCTTGTGGAACATTCTAGAACCGTTGATCCATTCAGTGAACACTGCTTGATACTTACTCTGTGCAAGTTCCTGTGTGAATAAGGCCTTACATTCTAGAAGGAAAGGCCGGCCTCAGTTATGAACACAAATAGGTGGCCACTGTGGAGGAGAGGGAGAGGTTCCCGCATTCCGGTGCCTGTCAATGGAGTCTTGCTTCTTTCGGAAACATTCTCCTCAGGAAAGACTCTTCAATGCCAACCTAAGGGGCGCCAGTGCTCACACCTGTAATCCCAGCTGCTCAGGAGGCTGAGGTCTGAGGATCGCAGTTCAAGGCCAGCCCAGGCAGGGAAATTCATGAGACTCATCTCTCTAATTCATCTCCAAAAAGCTGGAAGGGGAGCTGTGGCTCAAGTGGTGTCGTACCAGCCTGGAGCACGAAGCCTCAGGAACAGCACCTAGGGCCCTGAGTTCAAGCCCCAGCCCTGGCACTAAAACAAAAGGGCTGGATGTGTGGCCCAGTGTGACCAGGCCTCCCCTGCCCTTGCAGACGGACAAGACGATGACAGAACTGGAGATAGACATGAACCAGCGGATTGGCGAATGGGAGCTGATCCAGGAGTCGGGGGTGTCCCTTCAGCCCCTCTTTGGGCCTGGGTACACAGGCATCCGGAACCTGGGGAACAGCTGCTACCTCAACTCTGTGGTCCAGGTCCTCTTCAGCATCCCTGACTTCCAGAAGAAGTGAGTGGCCCCCCTTCTGCTGTGCCCCCACCTCCTGCATCCCTGAGATTCCCCTTCGCCCCGCTGCAGCCCGCCCTTCCACACCCCTTCTGCTGCCCTCAGGGTGGGCGTGTGTGCCAGTGGGAATAGTTCCTGCAGCTGGGCGCCGTGGCTCCCACCTGTCGTCCCAGCTCTTCAGGAGGCTGAGATCTGAGGATCGCAGTTCAAAGCCTGCCTGGGCAGGAAAGTCCGTGAGACTCTGATCTCCAAGGAACCACCAGAAAACCAGAAGTGGCGCTGTGGCTTTCAAAGTGGTAGAGCGCTAGACTGGAGCAAAAAAGAGCTCAGGCCCTGAGTTCAAGCCCCATGACTGGGGGGAAAAAAAACAAAAAGAAAAACATCAGGCCCCAAGTTCAAACGTCAGGACTGGTGTGTGTGTTCTCAGTAATGGAGACTGAGAACAAGTCCTGGGCCTTGAACTTGGGGCCTGGGCACTGGCTCTGAGCTTCTGCTCAAGGCTGGCGCTCTACCACTTGAGCCACAGCGCCACTTCTGACTTTTTCTGTGTATTGAGGTACTGAGGAATCGAACCCAGGGCTTCATGCATGCGAGGCGAGCACTCTACCACTGAGCCACCTACCCAACCCTCAACTGTGAACTCTTCATCCTCACCCTCCCCTTCGTTCTGTCGAGCACAGAGCGCAGAGAAGAGCTTGGTTGGCGAGGGACGGTGGGAAGGTGGCTGGAAAGAAACGGCAGCCGCTGCCTTCACGACTGCTGCCCTTTTCCCTCTCCTCCCTCCCCGCTCGTTACTTCTTCCTCCCTTTGCTCTTTAGGTATGTGGACAAGTTGGAGAAGATCTTCCAGAATGCTCCAACCGACCCCACCCAGGACTTCAGCACCCAAGTGTATGTAGCCAAATCCACAGCCTCACAGCCCGTGTCCTTCCTCCTCCATGGGCCCCGGGATGGGAGCAGAAAGCCAGGGGGACCCCGTGGACTGTGGCTCAGCGGGGTCTCTTCTGTTGCTTCAGGGCCAAGCTGGGTCACGGGCTCCTCTCGGGAGATTACTCCAAGCCAGCACTGGAGTCGGGCAATGGCGAGCAGGTGGCGGAACAAAAGGTGAGTGGCGTCTTCCTCCTTGGTGACACGGGAGCCGCATGCCGGCCTCCGACCTCCAGCCGAGCCTCGTCCTCCTCCGCCCAGGAGCTTCAGGACGGCATTGCCCCCCGGATGTTCAAGGCCCTCATCGGCAAGGGCCACCCCGAGTTCTCCACCAACCGGCAGCAGGACGCCCAGGAGTTCTTCCTGCACCTCATCAACATGGTGGAGGTGAGGGCCGCCCTCCCCCCCCCCCCCCCCCCCCCCCTCCTCCAGTCCACTCCTGCTCACGGGGCCCCTGCTGCCCTGCGGATGCCCCGCCTCGCTGCGGTGATGCCTACAGCGACGGGGGGGGGGGGGGGGGGGGGAGGGGGGGAGGGCAGGAGGCTGAGCTGTGAGGATCAAGGTTCAAAGCCAGCCCAGGCAGGCAACTCTCAGTCTCCAGCTCACTACAGAAAAGCTGGAAGTGAAGCTGTGGCTCAAGTGAGTAGAGCACCAGCCTTGAGCACGTGAGCGCAGGGACAGCGCCCAGGCTCTGAGTTCATGCATCCAAGAACTGGCACCAGGGAGGGAGGGAAGGAGGGAGGGAGGGAGGGAGGGGAGCATAGATGACAGGAAAGGCCTGGGTGTTGTGCCTCGGGAGAGCTTACCTGTGGTTTCATCCCCAGCTTTGCAAAGAAAAAAAAAATGGCATGAGAACAAAACTTTGGCTTATAAAGAAAAATATAGCGGGCATAAGTAGAAATGCCAGCACATCTGACCTATGAGCAGCTGAGGCAGACAAATCACAAGTTCAAGACAGGCCTGAGCACCATCAATAGTCTCTGTTGTCAACCAGGCACTGGTGGCTCCCGCCTGTCATCCCGGCTACTCAGGAGGCTGAGACCTGAGGATTGGAGTTCGAGGCCAGCCTGGGCAGGAAAGTCCCTGAGACTCTGATCTCCCATGAACCACCAGAAAACCGGGAGTGGCGCTGTGGCTCAAGTGGTAGAGCGCCCGCCTTGAGCTGAAGAGCTGAGGGACAGCGCCCAAGCCCTGAGTTCAAGCCCCACCACCGACCCAAAAAAGAAAAGGTGGAGCTGTAGTCATGCCTGTAATCCTGGCTACCCTAGAGGTTGAGCTCTGGAAGGTTGCATTTCATAGCCAGTCTGGAAAGCAAAGTCCTTGAGATTCCATCTCCAGCAAAAGGCTAGACTAGAGGCGTGGCTCAAGCGGTAGAGCACCAGTAGTGAGCAAGCAGGCTGAGTGAGAGTTGGAGAACCTGAGTTCACACACACATACATACACACACACACACACGGGGCTGGCACCCTTTTCCTGGCTGCCCAGACCCCCCTCCCCCCAGCCTATCGCTTTCCCATAGAGGAATTGCCGGAGCTCGGAGAACCCCAACGAAGTGTTCCGCTTCCTGGCGGAGGAGAAGATCAAGTGTCTGGCCACGGAGAAGGTGAAGTACACGCAGCGCGTGGACTACATCATGCAGCTGCCCGTGCCCATGGACGCGGCCCTGAACAAAGGTGGGTGCCTCCCCGGGCCCGGCCGGAACGGCAGTGACTAGTCATGGGGTTAAGGGGCACCGTCCCTAAGAGCGCCCCGCCTGGGCTTTCCCACCAGAGGAGCTTCTGGAATACGAGGAGAAGAAGCGGCAGGCTGAAGAGGAGAAGGTGTCGCTGCCGGAGCTGGTTCGCGCCCAGGTGCCCTTCAGCTCCTGCCTGGAGGCCTACGGCGCCCCCGAGCAGGTGGACGACTTCTGGAGCACAGCCCTGCAGGCCAAGTCCGTGGCCGTCAAGTGCGTCCCGGTCCCTCGCCCGTCCCCTCCCCGCCTCACTCCCACCCTACTGGCTAGGAGCTCGATGACGCCCATCCCTACTGGTTAGAAGCTCCTCACCTATCCTTATTGGTTAGGATCTCGGCCACTCTCACTCCTATTGGTTAGGATCTCAGCCGCTATCACTCTTATTGGTTAAGGTCTCGACCACTCCCACCCCTATTTGGTTAAGATCTCAGCCACTCCCATCCCTGTTGGTTAGGATCTTGGCCACTCTCACTCCTATTGGTTAGGATTTTGGCCACTCTCCTATTGGTTAAGATCTCGGCCACTCTCACTCCTGTTGGTTAAGATCTCGACCACTCCCACCCCTATTGGTTAGGATCTCAGCCACTCCCATCCCTATTAGTTAGGATCTCAGCCACTCCCATCCTCATTGGTTAGAATCTCCTCACCTATCCTTATTGGTTAGGATCTCGGCCACTCTCACTCCTATTGGTTAGGATCTCAGCCACTCCCATCCCTATTGGTTAGGATCTCGGCCACTCTCACTCCTATTGGTTAGGATCTCAGCCACTCCCACCCCTATTGGTTAGGATCTCAGAGGCCCAAGGAAGTGTAGACCCTGGGGGTGCTGTGGTTCCCAGCCCACCGCTCCCCCTCCCATAGTGTGGGTTCTCTGTTTTCCGCGCGGCCTCTGCGTCGCGTGTCTCCCTGTGGCAGAGCATACCCACTTAGTACCTGCCGTGCACCAGAGCTCAATTCTACCAGTCTGCCTCTGTCAGGCAGGGGGCCCTGGCGTGGCATCAGTATCTGAAAGCGGACCCAGCCCTGGGCTTCTAGTACCTTCTTTCTGGCTTCTGCAGCTCCTCGGGGTCCTGATGGCAGCCCGGACGAGCAGAGGCGCGGGCTGTGTGGTGGGGTTACCAGGGCTCTGCCTGAGTGTAGAGGCCACGGGTGGGCGTTCTGAGAGAGGGGTGCCCCGCAGTGTGTGGTTCCAGCATTTTCTCTCTTCTCCAGGACCACACGCTTCGCCTCGTTCCCTGACTACCTGGTTATCCAGATCAAGAAATTCACCTTCGGCTTAGACTGGGTGCCCAAGAAACTCGGTATGGTAGTCAAGCTGAGGGCAGAGAAAATGCTAGAAAAAAAAAAAAAAGACAGGCCCTGAACAGCCGTCGACAAGTGGCTCTCGGGCTTTTCATGTGAAAGATGTAAAAACTGTCTTTGGATATTTGCAAACGTGTCCAGTTGGCAAAACACTGGCTAAAGCCGAAAGTGTCTTTGGTTGTGTAGTTGTGGTTGACAGCCGAAGCTGATGATTTTAGTGTCGTTGTGTTGCTATTAGGGTGTTGTGTGACGGCGCTACCATTCCATAAGTTGGGTCACAAGCACAATTCCGTTTGGGCAGTGTCACTATTGGTAAAGGTGGTTTTGGGTAGTGGGGCTGATGTTTTTTGGAGCCTGGGTCTTTCTATGAAGGTGACTCAGTCCTCATTGGGTCACAGATATGTGGCGCTCTACCACTTGAACCACAGCGCCACTTCCCGTTTTCTGGTGGTTCTTTGGAGATCAGAGTCTCACGGACTTTCCTGCCCTGGGCTGGCCTTGAACCCCGATCCTCCGATCTCAGCCTCCTGAGTAGCTTGGGATGACAGGCGGGAGCCACCGACGCCCGGCTTGGCCCTCATTTCTGTTACAGCGGTGGGCACCGCGTGCCCGGTTGGAGGCTCCCAGGGGGGCGGCCGCGGTGACCCTGTCCCTTCCCCTTGCAGACGTGTCCATCGAGATGCCGGAGGAGCTGGACATCTCGCAGCTGCGGGGCACAGGGCTGCAGCCCGGGGAGGAGGAGCTGCCCGACATCGCCCCGCCCCTCGTCACACCGGATGAGCCCAAAGGTAGCCTTGGTTTCTATGGCCACGAAGACGAAGACTCCTTCTGCTCCCCTCACTTCTCCTCTCCGACATGTTAGTGCCTCTTCTTCCTGCCTGCCTGCTCGCTCTGTGCTCACGGGGGGCTCTGCCTGCCTCTCCCCCCCCCTTTGTGTTTCTCCTCTCCTCCGGCTCCCATTTCCTCCCCCCTCCCCCCTGATGGCCTTGGGGACCCCGTGGGCTGCTCCGAGCCACATTTTTTTTTTTACTGCCATTCCTGACACTGGCCGCTGTCCCTGAGCTTTGTCACTCATGGCTCACGCTCTACCCCTTGAGCCACAGCTCCACTTCTGGCTTTTTGCTGGCCCAGGCTGGCTTTGGAACCATGATCCCCAGACCTCAGCCTCCTGAGCCGCTGGGGTGACGGGGGGAGGGAGCCACCGCCCCCCCCCCGCCAGCCGCATTCTGGGTGTTGGGGTGTCATGCTCCAGAAATGGGGCTCCTTCTGTGAGCCCGGACAGGAAGCCAATAGCCTTGGGGATAGGGGGCTCCCATGATGCTGTGCGTTTTCTTTTTAGTTCTGGAACGAGTGCCAGTCGATGTGTGGGGGGGGAGATAATGCACGGAGTGGGGGCTGGGCGTGGCGTGCGTGGGGGCAGAAGAAGGGATGGGGACGGGGGTCTGACCGGCCCCCCTGCTCCCCCCCCTCCGCAGCTCCCATGCTGGACGAGTCGGTCATCATCCAGCTGGTAGAGATGGGGTTCCCAATGGACGCCTGCCGCAAGGCCGTCTACTACACGGGCAACAGCGGCGCCGAGGCCGCCATGAACTGGGTCATGTCGCACATGGACGATCCAGGTAGGCCGCGGGCCTGGGGGGCCCCGGAGCGGGGCCTGCAGCCTCCCCCACACTCCAACCCCTTCCCCCCTCGGCAGATTTCGCCAACCCCCTCATCCTGCCTGGCTCTAGCGGGCCGGGCTCCACGAGCACGCCTGCGGACCCACCCCCCGAGGACTGCGTGAGCACCATCGTGTCCATGGGCTTCTCCCGCGACCAGGCCCTCAAGGCGCTGCGGGCCACGGTAGGGGCTCGGAGGGGGTGCTTGTTCCCATCCCCAACCCCACCCCCACCCCCGGCTTGTCGGGGTCCCCTAAAGCCACCGCCTCCTTCCAGAACAACAGCCTAGAGCGCGCGGTGGACTGGATCTTCAGCCACATCGACGACCTGGACGCCGAGGCCGCCATGGACATCTCCGAGGGCCGCTCGGCCGCGGACTCCATCTCCGAGTCCGGCCCGGTGGGCCCCAAAGTCCGGGATGGGCCTGGAAGTGAGTGACCCTGGAGACTGGACCCCCATCAGCCCCTGCTTCCGGGAATGGCCCGAGAAGGGAGGGCCCGGGAGGCAGCTGTCCCTTGAGGGGCCCTTTCCCATCCTCAGCCGCGCCCCTACTTTCCGTCCCCAGAATATCAGCTGTTCGCCTTCATCAGCCACATGGGCACATCCACCATGTGTGGCCACTATGTCTGCCACATCAAGAAGGAGGGCAGGTAAGGGGCTGCGGGGGGTTGGGGGTGCAGCTGCCGCGCCCCTAGAATGCGGTGGGAGAAGCCAAGGACTAGAAGCCAAGGACTAGCCAAGGCACTGGAGCGCACGCCTGTAGTCTCCGCTGATCAGAGAGCGGAGAGCCGCCCATCCTAGTTTCCAGTTAGCAGGGCAGAAAAGGCTGAGACTTCCTGCCAGTGAACCACCAAAAAGGTGGGAGCGGAGGCGTGGCTCAAGTGGTAGAGCACCAGCCTTGATTGGAAAAACCCAGTGTAGGTCCTGAGTCCAAGGCCCAGTAGTGGCCCACACAGAGGTACAGTGTGTGTTCAGGCTGTTTTCCTATAGCCTGAGGTGCTGAGCAGGTCTGACTGTAACTACATGAGAATTACATTAATTGCTTTAAGTTGGATGCTGCTGGCGCACGTCTGTAATCTCAGCCAGGCTGTGATTTGATTATTAAAGTTGGAAGCCAGCCCAGACAGGGAGGTCCGAAAGACTTTTTTAAATTTTTTGTCAGTCGTGGGGCTTGAACTCTGGGCCTGGGCGCTGTCCCTCAGCTCTTCAGCTCAAGGCTGGTGCTCTACCTGTTGAGCCAAAGCGCCACTTCTAGTTTTTTGGTGGTTCACTGGAGATCAGAGTCTCATGGACTTTCCTGCCCAGGCTGGCTTTGAACCACAATCCTCAGATCTCAACCTCCTAAGTAGCTGGGATGACAGGCGGGAGCCACCAGCACCTGGCTTTGTTAGACTTTTATTTCCAATAGGCTACTAAAAAAAGCCCAAGGTGGAGCTGTGGCTCAAGTGGTAGAGCACTCTCCTAGATCAGAAGAAACTCAGGGTCCGTGCTGAGGCCCAGAGCTAAGTCCCAGGACTCGCCCCAGAAGCAGTTGCTGACTGCGAGACCCGCTAGAGCCCAGGCCGCTCAGGCCTGCAGCGTTGGGCCGGAGATCTGGGGGGAGGCCAGGCTTAAGACTCGGGGTGTTGGCAAGAGGCAGGGTGGACACAGCAGGGGTCACCTTCTGTGTCCCCCTGTCGTCTCCAGGTGGGTGATCTACAACGACCAGAAAGTGTGCGCGTCGGAAAAGCCGCCCAAGGACCTGGGCTACATCTACTTCTACCAGAGAGTGTCCACCTAGAGCCCGCCCAGCCCGGCCGCGCAGGCGCAGGGGACAGGCCAGGGGCAGCGCTGGACTCCGGCCCCCTGCTCCTCCGGCCCCCCCTTTCTTCTTGCCCCCAGCAGCAGGGAAGAAGCTGGAAGCCACAGGAGACTGACCAGGCAAAGAGGAGGGCCCCCTGATAGACTTGGGGGGCCAGGAGGGGGCCATCAGGGGGCCCGGCTGGCCTCTGTCCCTGGGCTGGCTGGCCTCCCCTCCCGGGCTCTGCTGCTCCCCCGCCCCGCCCCGGAAGTGGGGGCGGGGTCTCACCTTGCGGGGCGGGCGGTGGGCGTGGCTTTGCGGCCCCTTGGGAAGAGGGAACCTGTGCCTCCCTCCCCACTGTGTGCGTGTGTGCGAGTGCGTGCGTGCGTGCGAGCGTGTGTGCGTCCTGCGCGCGGGTGGGCAAGGAGGGATTTGAGGGACGCGGGGACCCCCCCCTTCGCCCTCCTGCCTCAGTCTCCCCCCCTCTCCCTTTCCCCATCTCGTTTCTTCCCTGTTCTCTGGAAAATGCCAAAATACACGATGTGAATCAAAGTTCCGTGTCGGCCGGGTCCTGGGGGGCAGTGCGGGAGCGCGGGCTCCCCGGGGCCGGCTCGGGAAGGGAGGCTGAGATCGGAGGATCGCGGTTCAAAGCCAGCCCGGGCAGGAAAGCCGTGAGGCTCTGATCACCCGGGAACCCGCCGGAAGCTGGGCTGTGGCTCCAGGGGTAGCCCAGCCCCGAGCCCAAGAGCTGGGGGCGGCGCCAGGCCCGGGGTCAGAGGGGAAGGGTTGGGGGGTCCCCCAGCGTCACCAGTACCCAGGCCTTTGGGTCGCCAGGGCGCATGGACCAGGGTGGGAGGTGAAGACAAAGGGGCGCCCTTGGGCGCCGGGTCCCCTTCCTGGAACTCGGGCAGCCGAGACCACTGACCCCGAGACCCGGTCCTGCCTGGCCCCGCCCCCTGCGCGCCCCGGCCCCGCCCCTGCACGGCCGGACTCCAGCCCCGCCCTCACCCTGCTCACTACAGGCCCAACCCCGCCTTTGGTCCCGCCCCTGCACGTCCCGAGTCCGGCCTCGCCCCGACCCCGCCTTCAGCCCCGCCCCCTACAACGTTGCTAGGAGAAAAGCAACGCCAGAACGCCGTCGTCGGGGCGGGGCCGGGCGCGGGCCAAGGGCGGAGCGAGGGCCGAGCCGGGGGCCGGGCCGGGGGCCGGGCCGGGGCGGAGCGAGGGCGGGCATGGCGGGCTCGCGCAGGGCGGAGCTCCACTTCGCCGCGCTCTATATGAGCGGCCCGTGCCCGTCGCCGAGCGCGTCCGCTGACCTTCAGGAGCAGTGTGCGAGCGCGAGCATGGCGCCGGGCAGGAAGTTCTTCGTCGGGGGCAACTGGAAGATGAACGGCCGCAAGAAGACGCTGGGCGAGCTGATCGCCACGCTGAACGCGGCCGCGCTGCCCGCCGACACCGGTGCGCCGGGGAGCCGGGGCCGGGAGCCGGGGGAGGCCGGGGGAGGCCCGCGATCCGCGCGGGAAGCGGCTTCCCGGGTCCCCCGGAGGAAGGTGGCTCCTAGCCCGGGCCCGAGGCCGCACGGGGCAGGCGCTGTGGGCGATCGGAAGTCGGTCGCAGCCCCCGTTATGTGGGGGAAGCCGAACCCCAGCCCCCCTGAAGCCGGAGGAGGGCGGGAGGCGCGGACCCCGGGCCCCGGGGCGCGGGGGCGAGGCCGGGCGCGCGGCCTCCGCTCCGTGCGCCGCCGCACGTAGCCGGCCCGGCTCCTCCCCACGCCCCGCCCGGCCCGGCCGCCAGCCCCCGGGCACCCTAGGAGGACGTGGGGGTCTCCCACCGCCCCTCCCCACAGGCCTGAGCCATCGGGGTGTGGGGATCGAGCCCCGGCTCGGAACCGGGAAGCGCCGGGCCTCCTCTCCATCCTGCCCGCCCACCCGGAGCCCAGATCCCCGGCTCCCCCCCCCTTTTTTTCTTCTTTTCTAAAACCCCTGGCCTGGCTGGAGAGTGGAGCTAAGCTATTTCAGAAGGGAAATACTCCCTGGGTTGGCCCCCAAGGAATGCTGAGTCTGGGAGGTGCCCGCGCCCAGAATAGCCCGGGGAAATTGGAGATCTGGCCGATCAGAAAGTGCAGAGGGCAGGGGGAGGGCCCGGGCTGGGTTAGGGGCCTTGGCCCGGAGCTGGGTGCAGGCCCGGCCTAGGCTGGGAAGTAGGCAAAGGTCATCGTGTTGGGGCGTGGAGCGGCTGAGGGCTCTGGGCAGCCACTGAAGGCCCCTCTCTCCTCCTCCTCCCCCTCCTCCTCCTCAGAGGTGGTTTGTGCGGCCCCCACTGCCTACATCGACTATGCCAGGCAGAAGCTGGATTGCAAGATAGCCGTAGCCGCTCAGAACTGCTACAAAGTACCCAACGGCGCCTTCACGGGGGAGATCAGGTGAGAAGCGGGTGATGGGTGGGTTGAAGGCCCGTCCCCGACTTTCCGCCGTGCTGAACCCTGGTTTGCTTCTCTCCCCCTCAGCCCTGGCATGATCAAAGATTGTGGAGCCACGTGGGTGGTCCTGGGCCACTCAGAGAGAAGACACGTCTTCGGGGAATCAGACGAGGTGAGGGATGAGGAAAGGAGACCGATTGACGTTTGCCTGGGCACTGGTGCGCACACCTGTAATCTCAGCTTCCCAGGAGGCTGAGATCTGAGGAGCTAGGTGCAAAGCCAGCCTGGGCCCAGCTAGCCTGACATGGATGGCCAAAAACAACAACAAAACTCAGGGACAACAGGGGCCCGGGGCAGGCACAAAAACAGAACAAAAATGCTTTATTCACCGAATCTGTTCGTCCACAGCTGATTGGGCAGAAAGTAGCCCACGCCCTGTCCGAAGGCCTGGGCGTCATCGCCTGCATCGGGGAGAAGCTGGATGAACGGGAAGCGGGCATCACCGAGAAGGTCGTTTTTGAACAAACCAAGGTCATCGCAGGTATTGCTGAAAAGGGGGTACACCTTTGGGGGCGGGACCAAAAACTCCCCAGCCTGCCTGGCCTCATGCTGGCTGTCCAGGAAAAGGAAGGGCTCCAGTGGCCTGGTGCTGAAATCAGTCATTTCTGCACCAGCCCCTGAAAAGACCACGTGCCACCTGTAGGTCTTGCATGGGCCGCCAGGGGGCAGCAGGCCACCATCATTCTTCCTACCTCAGGGGCTGAGGCCGCTTCCCCCAATCTGTGATCTTCCTCCTGCAGATAACGTGAAGGATTGGAGCAAGGTTGTCCTGGCCTACGAGCCTGTGTGGGCGATTGGTACGGGCAAGACAGCCACCCCTCAACAGGTAACAGCCCAGGAGCTCGGCCAGGCACTGGTGGCTCACGCCTGTCATCGGAGCCACATTGGAGGCTGAGATCTGAGGATCACAATTCAAAGCCAGGCCGGGCAAAAAAGTCTGTGAGCCTCTTAGGCCCAGTGAACCACCAGAAAAGCTGCAAGTGGAAATGTGGCTTGTGTGGTAGAGTGCCAGCCTTGACTGGACTTGAACTCAGAGCCCAGAGCTGGCACCGAAGCAAACAGGAAGCGAAGCCCCTTGGCCTCCAAAGACTTCACTAAGCCTTCCATACCAGCGCCCAAGCTGGGATTAGAGCTCTGATGTTTCCAGTTCGGGTCCCAAGGCTCTTGCCTAGAAAGAAACCAGAGGAACTTTCCACGGGTGTCAGTGGTTTTCCTCTGATTCACGCAGGACTTTCCGTTCCTCTTGTTGCTCTAGGCCCAAGAAGTGCATGAGAAACTCCGGGGATGGCTCAAGTCCAACGTCTCCGAGGACGTGGCCAAGAACACGCGCATCATTTATGGAGGTGAGTTGGTTTGGGAGAAGTGGACCACGTGCTCTGTGATGGGAGGTGAGAATGGGGCGCCCAGCCCTGGCCAAGCCCCGCCCGCCCCGGCCAGTCCATTACCATCCCCAGCCAAGCCCCTCCCATAGGACCAGACTCATTTGTGACTAAGCCCCACCCATGACCAGTCTATCATCACTAAGCCCCACCCACCTTGACTAGTCCTATCATCACTGACCAATCCTCTATCACCACCCCCCAAGCCCCTCCCAGCCCTAAGTCCCACCCACCATGACCAAACCCTCCCATTTGTGACGAAGCCGCGCCCAGGACCAATCCTCTACCATCACTGACCAAGCCCCTCCCACTCTGGCCAGTCCGCTCTCCCGGGCCAGGCCCCTCCCAGGGCTAAGCCCCACCCATCAGGACCAGACTTCCATTTGTGACTAAGCCCCACCCATGGCCAATCCTACCGTCACTGACCAAGCCCCTCCCAGCACTAAGCCCCACCCATCACAACCAGACCCTCCCATTTGTGATTAAGTCCCACCTACCTTGGCCAATCTCTGTCGGCTATGACTAAGCCCCACCCCACCGCCCAAGCTGACCAATCCTGTTGCAGACCTGGTTAAACCCCACCCATCATGACCAGGCCCTCCCATTTCTGACTGGGCCCCACCCACCGACCAATCACCATTGCCCTGACCACGCGCCTCGCCCCGACCCTGCCCGCAGGTTCGGTCACTGGAGCCACGTGCAAGGAGCTGGCCAGCCAGCCCGACGTGGACGGCTTCCTGGTGGGCGGCGCCTCCCTCAAGCCCGAGTTCGTGGACATCATCAAGGCCAAACAATAGACGCCCACCGCACCATCTCCCGCCCTGGAGCGAGGCCGGGGTCACGACCCCCCAGTCGTGGCCCCCACCCTTCCCCGTGCTTCTGATGACATCATCTGCCCCCGGCTGCGGCCTCCGCCCCTGACCCCGGGGTCGGGACCAGGCCAGTCGCTTTACCGTAGCCTGAACTAAGCGCGGCACCGACGAGGCTCCTCCTCGGCCCAGTGCAGCTTGCGGAGTGCCCCCTCCCCCTCCCACCCAGGGGAGGGCGGGGGAGCGAAGCCGCGCTCTCCTGGTCACCATGGGGCCCGCCTCCCCGGGGAGGCCCGAGCCGCGAGGCCTCCCACAGTGCGCATGCGTGTGTCCATCTGTGCGCGTCCGTCAACCCCGTATGAAATAAACACCTGGCACTAGAGCCTCGGGGCTGCTGTTCTATTTTCCACCTTCATACCAACTCTCTTTCCTTGCGGAGAATCACACCGCTTTATCCCTTGCTGGATGTATTCATTTGTGGCTTTCTGGCCACATTTCAGCTCATGAGTCTTTTTGCTCCAGGCTGGTGCTCTTCCACTTGAGCCACGTCTCCAGATCCCGCTTTTTGCTGATTCCTTGGAGATAAGGGGCTTGTACCGTTTTCCTGCAGGCGCGGGCCTTGAGACACAATCCTCAAATCTCAGCCTCCTCAGTAGCAGGGATTACAGGTGTGAGCCACAGGTGCCTGTTTTGATTCCTTATGAGAGCTCAAACAGGTTTCAGGTGAGTGCTGGGGTCTCAGCTGTGATCCTAGCTACTCAAGAGGCTGAGCTGTGAGAATCTCAGTCCAATCCGGCCCAGACAGACGAATCCTTGATTATCTCCAGTTAAGCAACAAAAAGCCGGAAGTAGAGGTGTGTCTCACCTGTTAGGGCACCAGTCTGGAACAAAACACAGTGAGAATAATGAGTCTCTATCTGCCCTCAACCCTCTGGGTGGGCGGAGCCTTTCAGAGGGTGGGGCCAGCACCCTCTCCCCCCCACACCTGCCCATTGCTGGCTTTGAAGTAGTACCACCCTCAGCAATGGCCTCTCTTCACCCCCTAAAAAGGAGGGGGGATGGGAGGCTTTGTGTCACAGTCCCAGGGCTGTTCATTGAGCTACTACTTCATGACAAGAGGTAAAGGCAGAGCAGATGCACTGCACCACATGGGTGGTTCCGCCAGGAGGGGAAGATTAGGGGTGCAGGAGATGGGGCACCGGTGGCTCCCGCCTGTCACCCCAATTACTCAGGAGGCTGAGAGCTGAAGATCTTGGTTCAAAGCCAGCAAGGTCAGGAAAGTCAGACTTTCTTTGAGACTCGAAATCTCTGCAATGAGCTACCAAAAAGCTGGAAGTGGGGCTGTGGTTCAAGTGGTAGAGCGCCAGCTTTGAGTAAAAGAGGCTCAGGGACTAGAGCTGGGCTGGAGTGACAGGAAGGATGGATGTCATTCTGCATGGATCATCACGCATGCCTGAGGGAGGGGCTAGCACAGACTCATCCAATCACAAAGCCCGGTGATCGGCCACTAGGTCCCGCCTCCAAGACACTCCTTCCTGGTGTGGGGGGGCCCTCCAGGGCTCCCCCTGGAATTTGCCTGTGGAAGCAAAGTCGGGGTGTGACACAGGAGGAGCAAACGCAGAGAATGGGGTACACACCCCGAATCCTGGCGAGGCCTGCTATGTAGTTCACCCTTTTATTTCTCTTGTTGGTCCTGGGGCTTGAACTCAGGGCCCGAGCTGCTGCCTCTGAGCTGCTTTTGCTCAAGGCTGGCGCTCTACCACTTGAGCCACAGCGCCACTTCTGGCTTTTTTTTTGGGGGGGGGGCTGGGTAATTGGAGATCAGATTCCCAAGGGCTTAACCTGCTGGAGCTGGCTTCAGACCACCATCCTCGGTCCTCAGCTGCTTCAGTCGCTGGGATTACAGGTGTGAGCCACCAGTGCCAGGTGTGGGCACGAAACGGGGTCCTAGGCCGGTCAGATGAAGGTCCAACCCCTCTCTGATCTGTGCCACCGTTTCCACCCAAACCACGGCCAGCAGTGATGGGAAATCCTCCAGGCTTCCCACTCGCTTTTCCTTCCAGGCAGTGCCGGGTTCGGGCCCCTCACAGCACCAGCAGCTTGGGACACGCCCTCCGAGGACACGCCCACACGGGGAGGAGCAGCATCAGACCACGCCCACACGACGCTTTCCATCTCTAGACCACGCCCACTCCGCGAGCCTCCACCCTGGGCTCGGCTCCGGGCCGGAGCCACGCCCACACGAGGAGGAGCATTGCCAAACCACACCCCTGTGGGGGGCAGTCGCTCTAGACCACGCCCCTTGCCACGCCCACTCCGCGGCCCTCTTCCCTGGTCTCTGTTCCAGGCCCCAGTCTCTTCCCCACCACCCCCTTTCCCCACACCTCCCCGGGCCTAGGCCTCTGGGCAGCCAAGGCTCAGGGTTCACCTTTCAATGGCCTCATCGGCCTGGGATCCCAGGGCCCTGGAGACCTTTGCGCACCCCAGGATAATCTGCAACACCCCAGCCACGCCCTCCAAGGCTCAGGGTGTATCGCAGGGGATCCCCTTGGCTCGGTTCCCAGCTCTGGTCCAGGCTCAGATTTCATAGGTCCCCATGAGGCCGCCACACCGGGTGCCAGCCCTTTCCACAGCTGTGGATCTCAGAACTTAGAGCCCAGGGCCTGGACTGGGCAGGTGGCTCAGTGGTAGAGCGCTCGCCTCGCATGCAGAAAGCCCAGGGGTCGATTCCTCAGCACCACATACACGGAAAAAAGCTGGAAGTGGCGCTGTGGCTCAGGGACAGCACTCAATAGGCCCAGGACTGGCCAAAAAATTAAAAATAAAAAGAACTCAGGGCCTGGGTGCTTTCTCTGAGCTTTTCTGCTCAAGGCTGGCGCTCTACCCCTTGAGCCACAGCACCACTTCTGGTTTTCTGGTGGTTCACAGATCACAGTCTCACAGACTTTGCTGCCCGGGCTGGCCTTGGACCAAGATCCTCAGATTCCAGCCTCCTTAGTAGCTCGGATGACAGGCGTGCGCCACCAGCACCTGGCTAAATTTGTGTGTGTGTGTCCATACTGGGGTTTAAATGCAGCACTGCTTGGTTGTGTGTGTGTGTGTGTGTGCACGTTGCTTTTCCTCCATTTCTGGCTTTTTAGTAGTTTAGGGGAGCTAAGAATCTCCCAGTTTGAACTCAGGGTTCGAGCTCCAGAACCAGCCCCCAAAAGACAGAAACTATTAACAAGAAAAGCAAAACCGCACAAAGAATTCTTCCTAACCCAGCAAATCTCCCTTTGATGGGAATCAGAGCTGCCTGCTGGGGGAGGAAGGAGAGGGGGAAGCCCTGAGTTCAAGCCCCAGGACCTGCACACACACATGCGCATGCGCACGCGCACGCACACTACTTCCCAAACCACGCTGCTGAGGAAATGGCGACAGAGGACATTTGCAAACCAGCGATTCCCGGCCCCGCCCACCGGGTGGGGTGGCCCCGCCCACCGGGAGGGCTCAACCGCTGGCCCCGCCCCCAGACGTCCATTTGCTGCTCCTACAGACGCGCTGCCGGCCGCTGAAGGGCGGGGCGACGCACGCTGAGTGCGCGGGGCAGGGCGTCACGTGGTGACGTGGGTGGGCGGGGCCTCCCGGAAGCGAG